AAATATCCTTTGGGGTCAGCAAGCTGAACTGCAAGCCCTTCCCAGGACTGCAACCAGAAACACAGAAGGACGGATCTGTTCCAGCTGCGGTTGCTGGGGCCAGCAGCAGCAAGGAAAGCCGCCCCAGCGAGCCGCCCTCGCTTCCCCCGCGGCACCATCCCCGGTGGGCAGCGATGGCCCCGATGCTGCTCAGCGCCTGGCTCACCCTCTGCGTGTCTGCTGCATCCCAGCAGGTGACAGGTAGGACGTGCCTTTGCCAGCGAGGTGGCTGCTGGGCTGGGTTTGCGGTCCCGCTGTGCCAGGGCACGACGCTTTGCTGGCCTCTGCAATCTGGGCCAAGCGCTTCAGCCGGCCGTGCCGAGAGCTGGAGCCCCAGCAGGGCTGCTCACTGCGGGAGGCTCTCGGACCTGCCTGCAGGATGAAGAGCCGGTGACGGGGAGGGTTTTCTTGGGTCTCCACTGAAAAAGTCTGCTCCTGGAATAGAGTTTGTGGATTGTCTAGATGCTTTCTTTGGGGGAAAAAATTCCCTGTTAATGAGAAACTAAGTAAGTGACCATTTTCCCATCTGCAGAGGATATTTATGTTATTATTTCACTACATTATTTCTTACGCTTTTGTTTTACTCTACTCAAAAACTAAACACTGCATCTATTTACGAGATGGTTAGTAATAACAGCAGTTTGGTGGCTCTTCAACAAATTCCCTGAGCTGCAGCCGATCAGACGACTCTCAGTAGAGGGATCTGTTGGCAGAGACAAGCCCAGCAAAGAAGTTTTCAGATGGTGCAGTGTTTGTACCTGAGTTAAAGCCTTGCTGGCACATCCGTGGAGGAGTCGGATAGAGCAGCTGCATCGCTGTTTGCACCCCGAAGCTACAGGCTGGCTTGGACCAGGGAGCCTGCAGCTGCGTGGAGAAGCAAAACTCCACAGCCTGGGGCTGCCAGGGAGAGTCCTCAGGCAGCTCCTACATCTCCCCGAAAAGCTTTAATCATGAGTGGAACGTTGGAAGCAGGATTTGGTAGCAGTCATCACGCTCATACAGTGTTAAATCTTTCTTCTAGCCTTTATAAACACCTGCTGGCCTTAACTCTGGAGTGCTCAAATTCCCCCTCTTTTTTATATAAAAAGCCCTCATCATGTAATTGTTCGGGGTTTTTTAAAATGTGTTGAAGAGTTTTGTATTTTATACAAGCTTTTTCCATTTCATGTTCCCTGACCTAAAGGACGGGTCTGTTAGTCGTACACGGCAATGCTGATCCAACACGCAGAAGGGGGAGGACGCAGCCTCCCTCCCGCAGCCCTGGGCTGGGGCTGCTTGGCTCTCCTTTCTCACCGAGGAAGAAACAACAGAGGCAAAATCAATGCAGGAAGTTAAAGCAGGACACATGAGAGTAAATAAAGAGGAAAGGCCACGGTCTTGTGCTACTAAATTCTGCCTGGTGCCCTGCAGGTGAAGGTCATCGCAGGAGGGAGTCTGCTGGCCCAGAGGACGCTGACGTCGTGTTGGAGGTCTCCTGGGCGCTGGGGGCCCGTGGGATGAGGCGCCCTCGGTGCCCGCGCTCTCACCCACCCGCACGTAAAAACCCGCGTGTCCTGCTTGGCCTCGTCCCCACAAACACCTCAGCTGTGCCCCGGCAAACCCTCCTGTGGGTGCCAGCCAAAGGGAACTCTGACTCCCCTGGGATGCTGGGGGCGGCCGCTCCGCCACACACAGGGCCGGGCCGAGGGGCTCGAGGGGTGCCGGGGGGAAACTGAGGAGTGGGGCTGTCCAGAGCAGGGGCGTGGGGCGGGCGGAGAAGGACAACGAGCGGGGCTAGGCCGGCCCTGGGCAGGGAGGCAGGGAGCGGCCACCCCGGGCCGGCTCCAGGGGCA